AAGGAGAAGGAGAAGGAGAAGGAGAAGGAGAAGGAGAAGGAGAAGGAGAAGGAGAAGGAGAAGGAGAAGGAGAAGGAGAAGAGAAGGAGAAGGAGAATAAACCATTCCCTGCTGCCGGTAGCTTCTGCTCCGCTGCGCAGCCACTGCTGTGGAACTTGCGGGGACGAAGAGGGGGACACAGGGGCAGGGAGTCCCACAGCCACCCAGGACCGGGCTACCCGGAGACTCCTGCCAGAGCCGAGGGCCCGGCGAGGCCACCTGGGCCACCTGGGCCACCATGGCCTTGGCTGAGTCCTCGTCCCCACCTTGTGGCCGCGCGGGGACATTGCACGGACCGCAGGGACGTTGCGGAGACCACGGGGACATTGCAGGGACCGTGGGATCATTGCACGGACTGCGGGGACATAGCACGGAGCGCAGGGGGTCGCGTCAGTGCACACCTGCACAGGTGTAGCACACCTGTGCTGGCACACAGCTCGCTGTGGGTGCAGGGGAGGAGCTGGCTCAGAAACGGGCACTGGAATTGGGATGTCTGCACCAGGGGCAGGCAGGAGCAGCAATGGGACACTTCTGTGGGGTGAGAGGCCACTTCCCTGAGCCTGGTGATGGCACTAATGGACAGGAGGTGAGAACAGCCTCAGGACTTCTCACCCAGCTCACACCTGTTCCACTCTGCTCTCCAGAAGCTGCTGGCTGAGTGCCAGGACCAGCAGTGGTGCCAGTTCTCAGTGCACAGCCAGGTCTTTGGGCCAGACCCATGCCCTGGGACACACAAGTATCTCATCGCTTCCTACAAGTGCCGGCCAGGTGAGATGGAGCACGGTCTGGGCAGCACTGCATGGGCCCTCCCTGACCTCAGCTGCTCAGAAAGGGGAAGGAAAGAGAGCATGGCTGCTCCTGTACCTCGCAGCCCTCTTTCAACCCTCCCCTTGGCCTAAGAGAGGGGCTGCAGGTGATTCAGGATGCACTGGGGCGCTCAGCGATGTCACTTCCTAGGGAACCATCGGGTCAAGACCGTGTGCGAGAATGACAAGCTCAGGCTGCAGTGTCGACCAAAATCCATCCTGGCCATTTATTCTGCAAGTTATGGACGATTCCTGCGGGGCAAACCAGAGTGTGACGCCTTCAACACTGGAGGACCGCATATAGGTATGCCAGAATGGTTTGAGACAGAAATGGGGCAGGAACCATGCAGAGAGTACAGCACAAGTCCACCACTGGGCTGTACCTGTGTCCCTTGGCCTCTGCTGGCTGATGCCCAGCAAGGAGGGACAGGCAGCTCTGCCCATGGGTCCATTCCTCATGTCTCTGCAGAGTGTGTGGCTCCAGACGCTCTGCGCAGGGTCTCCAAGAAGTGCCACCGCAAAGGGAACTGCACTGTGGCTGCTGACAAGGCCACCTTCGGGGACCCATGCCTCCCTGGCACGAAGAAGCAGCTGCGAGTCTCTTACACCTGTGGTGAGAGCTCCCCACGGGGCCAGGGGCACACGGGCCACTGGTGGAGTGTGTGCTGTGCCCACCCCATGCCAGGGGCAGGGGCGTGGGGCTCCCCAGGGAGGCAAGGGCTGCAGGGGAGGAGCAGGGTGCACGCTTGGTGATGATGATGATGTGTGTGCTGATGAGGTGCGTTGGTGTGTGCTCTCCCTGCAGTGCCCAAGCAACTGCTGGAGGAGGTGGGCCCTGACGCCTCAGACCCCTTCCTGCTCTCGGACTACATGCATGGTAATGTGGGTGGAGGAAGGTTCCACCACAAGCAGCGTGGCACTGTGCCCGTGCTTGGGTGAGCCAGCCCTTCCATGGTTTGTCTGCATCCCTGGTACCAGCTCCAGCCTAGCATCTCTGTCCCGTGGTGGAAGCCATCCCTTGGCCAGTGCCCATTCTGAGGGGATGGAGGTGGCATCTGCTGGGAGCAGGGGAGAGGAAGACACACAGGGTCATCCCTGCAGACAGCAGAGCACTTGTGCAGGAAGGATGGAGTGTGGTGTGGGGAAGGACAGGCAGGAGCAGGCAGTCGGGGCACCGAGAGCACCTCGTGTCTCAGCCTGCACCCCCTTGTTACTGCAGGTGGCTGGTACAAAGGGCCCAGGTTCTCCAGGCTCCAGGAAGACCGCATGATTTTTACTAGCTCTCTGGCAGCTTTTGCCCACCTTTGGGGTATGTGCCCTCCCTGGGTCTCACGCAGCTCCTGGGGAAACAGGACAGGCTGGGGGGTGGCTGACATCCCAGATGGCCCCACCTCAACCCCGGGCTCATCTCAGAGGCAGCCAGACCCCAAACCCCTCCAGCAGGGCCAACAGGCACACAAAGGAGCAGGGCACCGAGCACCCATGCTGGGTTTGGGGTGGACAGCTAGGGCAGGAGCTCAGAGGTTGAACAAGCCACATGTCCCACAGCAGCAAGAGTCATGGTATGGCTACAGTCCTGCCTGTGCACCTTCCTTTTCCAACAGGCCAGATTACCCACTAGGTCTTTTCCTTCCTGCCCTATCTGCAGGCACTAATGGAGACCACCTCTCTACAGGCAAAAAAATTCCCTTGCCAGAGGAAGTTACTCATTTAATCCCCCAAGGGATTATTCTTTCCCCTGCTCTGCCTACCCCACATCCCAGTGTAGGTTTCCTTTGGTCAAAGGCACATTTCAGGACTAGTGGGTGCTAATGAGGCTCTAGGTGACACTTCCATGGTCACTGGGGCAAGGTCGGTCCTGCCTCTGCAGCCTGGGTGGTGAGGGCATCCCTGCTCCCCTCCTCTTACTCCCATAGGCCTGGCAGAGGGGCTTTGCAGGCACTGATACCCCACAGACTACACAGCAGTTTGTACCCTGGTGTCTTTCTTTTCTTTTCCCCCTCAGGTGTCCCGGAGAAAGTTGCCCTCTACTTTCTTTGTGGAGTCTCAGGAGGCCTCATGCTGCTGCTGTGCATCATCAGCCCCAAAACGACCTTCCTCCAGGAAATGGGGGAGGCTCTCAAAGATCCAGAGCTGGGGAGCAGCTCGGAGCTGGGCAGGACCAAGCTGCGGGATGAGCAGGATGAGGACGTCGCTGATGACAGCTCCTCAGACTCCTCCTTCCGCCGCCTCACCCGCACCTACCGTGCCACTGACAGCATCTTCGGCCCTGAGCTGACCGCAGCCATGGAGGGAGCCGTGGAGCACCAGAGCCACACTGGGGACGAGATCTGGATGCCCAAGGAGTCAAGCCCGTATGCCATACACAAGATCAAATCGGCCACCAAATAAGAACTGGGAGAAAACGGTGGGCGGGCAGCAGAGGGGTGCAGGCTCAGTGGGATCTGACATCAGAGAGACATAAGAGTTTGGGATCCCTGGGTGACTGCACATCCCGAGCAGGGTCACGGCAGCTCCACTGTGTCCATCCACACACTGCTCCACCAGCACGGAAACCTCTAACCTGGGGGTGGCGTGCAGTCCCTCAGTGTGATGAGGGGCTGTGGAATGGTCCTGTGGGCCACGGGCTCCTTTGCCATAGATGCCACTAACCCTAACCTAACCTCTCTGTTCTCAGCTTGCATCGTCTGGCCCTAGAGTTTAACCTCGATCAGTTGTGCCAAGTCCACCCTGAGCCCTTCAAGGCTGTTTGCTCCTATTTCTCCTTGGGTGCTGGCTTCCACTCCTGGTGCTGCAAACACCCCCTGTACTCGGGCACTGTGCCAGCGGCAGAGGGGCAGGAATGGCCAGGACACAGGGAGAGGCAGGTGGAGGGAGCGTGCAAGCACAGCAGGCATTGCCAGCACATCCCCACCATGGTGCATGCCATGCAGCCCTGCTGTTCCAAGGCAGCTACTCCCCAGGCTGGGGCCACTGGCACCTGGGCACAACACTGGCTCTCACCTCCCTGTAGGCATTCAGGAGCTCTGTCACCCTGCGTTGCTCTGTGCTTTCCTCTCTACTTTCTCTAGTGGCAGGAGAGCCCCAAGTTTTAACTTGCTGTATTTTTTTCCAGTGAATAAATGCAATAGCTCTTAGGCACAACATCTCCCCCTGACCTTGGTCATTAGTAATGAAAAGAGGAAAAAGGAAGAGGCAAAGTTCAGCCCTCTCTGTGCAGAAAAGTACCTTGCCTCCCACCAGTGCTTCTGGCACTGGGCCATGGGAAGCAACAAGCTAGGCTTGTTTTACCACAGGAAAGGATAAGGGGAAGGGAAAGGGGAAAAAGCAGTCCATCTGGGTCCCAGGAATGATGCTTTCCTTTCCTTGCTGCTCTTCTTGAGCCTGGGGCTTCCCGTCTGGTAAGCAATCCTGGAGCAAAGATCCCCAGATACTGAGAGTGGCTTCTCAGCAGTCCTGCAGTGCCAGAAGCCAGGCTGGGGCTGGGGTCTGCTCTAACTCCAAAAGGCAGCACAGGCTTTTTTAGTGCTGTGGGAAGAGGCTGGATGGAAGCAGCAACCCAGCTCTCCTCAAGAAAGGGACACGCTGGGCACAAATGCTCTTGAGCCAGCACACAGCAGAGTCTAGTGGGAGGAGCCAAGGACCTGCGTTCTGCCTGATTTGGGGGTTTGCTGAAGGAATGTCAGAGCCCAAAGAGAGCTTGTGGAGCTCTCACCTCCAGCTGGCCCCCAGCATCCTTAGATTGTGGGCAGGACTGAGACCACAGCCTTGCCTCGATGCTTGGACAGCTAGCACAGCTCCTGCTGCACACCCATGGCCTCACCTTGCACTTCCTGCTCTCCTCATTCTTCTCCCACACGGCCCATGTCCAGGGGCGATTTCAGCTTGCATGGTGTGAGTCACACCCCTGCAGCAAGGCTGGGATTCCCAAGAGCCTCGCCAGAAGCACCAGCATGACAGTGCTTTGGAGACTGGAAAAGCCAGCTTCTCAGTGCCAAGCCTGGGCTGGACAGGCAGACATGAACCTGTCCCAAAGCAGGCAGCTCATCCCAGCCTCCACAGAGCTGTGGGCAGACTTGGATGGGGGTTTTAATTGAGGATCTTCTCCCACAGGATAACCATGTTTCCATTGGCAGTGGGATGTGTCCTGGCTCTGCCTGAAAAAAAACTGTGGTTTTGGCTGGACTATGCACTGCCTTAACATGTATGGGGAAAGGCAGGGACCTGGATCCTACAGCATCCCAAACCAACAGCAAGCAAGCCCCAGGGAGTTCCCAGGCCAAGGACAGAAGCAGTGACACTGGGGGAGCTGGGGCTGGAGAGAGCAAGTGACCAAAGAGGGAGCAAGGTGGGCTGGAGCCACGGCAGCCCTGACCAATTCTGGGGACCGAAGGGACTAGAGATCTGTGGGACCCAGATTTAAACCTCCACTGAATGTGAGAGCAGAATTCTGCTCCTGGCTGTCCATGGTCTGGGCCTTCCTGCTGGAGATGGGGCAGAGCTGCCCACATGCAGCCCAAGCCGTGTGCCTGATCCTGCCCACGTGGCCCTTGGGCAGCAGGTTTAAATCCCCTCAGATGCTGGCACTGCTGTGTTTCCCCAGCCAGGGGTTCATCAACTCCGCCCACAACAGCAGCACATGGGTGTGCGATTGTCTGAAAGGATTTTCTTAGGTTAAATTTAGGAATTGGAAAGGTTTTCTCTGGGAATCTGGTGGCTGGGGGAAGCTCTCCTCTGCTGCAGTGTTGAGCTCTGCTGAGTTTACCTCAGTGGGGGTTTCACCGCTGAGTGCAGCGCTAAAGCCCCCCAGGGTTGCTGAGGGCACAGGACCACTGCACGGTGGTGGTACGAGAGCAAAGAACTGCGCTGGAAACCCACAAAGGAGCAGAGTGATACAGTGAGCAACAAGTACACGAACATGGATCATGTGTCTGACACATGAGAAGTGGGTGGCTTTTCCAAGACTACTTTATCAAGGAACAAAGCAAGCTGTGGGTGTGAGGAGTCTCATGCATTCCTTCCCTGAGACATGGAAATTGACTTCAAGCCAATGACAGCCTGAGCGAGCCTTCTCCGAGCTCTCCCAGCCCGGCAGCCTGGCGGCAGGGCAGGGGTATCCCCAAGAACTGCAGCGCTCTCGAGGCCGGTCTTTGATTCGCACAGAGTGTTCTTACCCTCAGCAGATGTTTGATAAGGGGCGGGTATCTCGTACAACCCCGTAGTACAGCGCCTGTGGCTTGTGCCTCGGTAACTCTGACCCTGTCCTGGTCGCCGTGGGCGACGGGGCAGTCCCGTGAACTCATCCTGAACTTGGCCAGTCATGCCTGTACAACACCCCATGGACACTGCTCTGTGGTACTCAGACAGCGAAAGTAGGGTTACACTAGAGATGAGAAAAAGATCTTCCCTGTGGGGGTGGGCAGGGCTGGCACAGGGTGCCCAGAGCAGCTGTGGCTGCCCCTGGATCCCTGGCAGTGCCCAAGGCCAGGTTAGGCGAGGCTTGGAACAGCCTGGGACAGTGGAAGGTGTCCCTGTCATGGCAGGGGGTGGAACGCGAGGAGCTTAATCTCCCTTCCCACCCAAACCGTTCTGTGATTCTCCAAGCGACCCGAACCCTCTGTTCCCGACACTGGGCCAAGGAAGGTGCACGGCCAGCACACCCCGCCCCCCAAAGCAGAGTTCCCCAGCCCGGTGGGAAAGGGCAGCTCCGAGGTCTGGGACCCACAGCCTCGGGTTCGGGCGGAGACAGTGGACCCAGTTGCCCGCGGAGGCCTCTCACCCGCCCCGAAGCACGGCACGGCACGGCACGGCACGGCACGGCACGGCACGGCACGGCACGGCACGGCACGGCACGGCACGGCACGGC